TTTTTTTTTCGTTCTTTTGTTTTCTTTTCTGTTTCTTGCCTGTGCCCTCTATTTGCAATTCCTGTGGACATTTTCTTTTTTCGTAAGTTCTTCCTTCTATCTTTATGTGCTTAATTTTTTCTGCTTTTATGGACAGTGTGATTGCTACTTGCGCAGCAGTGAAGACCGACAGAAGCTTTATTAGCGACTACAATTGGACGCAACAGGGGCTTCATGCAATATAACAAGAATAAGAATACTACTAGTCTATACATATTTATAACGGGTACAGTATATTTAAGTGATTGGTAGTAACATGGGGTCGGTAGATTTTGCAGTGAAAGTTCTAGTGAGTTATATAAATGCTAGAGGGATAGGCGGAGAATGGGGGCAGCAGGATTTTTATGTAAGTTCTTAAACGAGGAACATTCAGGACACAGTGCAGGAGGAACATGTGCACACGACCACGCACAATGGGAGGAATTATGAGATAGGATATATATGGGAGAAGTGTGTATTGCACTAATAGTTGACAGAAGACAAAACAGAATTATATATGTTCAGGAGCAACATGTATTTTAACGAGTGTGTAAGAAATTTAAGAACAAATAGACAACGGAAAGCACATGTATATGTTTATAACTATATGCTTATTGCGCGCTGTAGGATAAGTTTTGGGCAGACATGAAGACTGTTTACGACGAATTTGTGCAACATATGGAAAACACGGATCAGGACGCAACGTATGGACAACTGTGTGCCACGGCTGCACAGCTTGAGAATCCGGACGCCATGTTACAGAGTGACCGTGTCGTATGTGAGTTTATGTTGGGTGCGTTGCTTTTTAAGCATGGGCTCGATGTGTCTGGCGCACGCAGGAGTGAGAAGGGGCCTGAAGACCACGGCCAACAAGTGCACGGATATATGACGTGCATCATAGTGAATGTATTTATACAGCACATATTGGGGGATGCATGCCTGAAGACAGAGGGCGCACAGTATGCAGAACAAGCAATACATGGATTATTGCAGCCCAACTCGGGGTTAGAGCAGCATGCTTCGTGTGATGGTGTAAACTTGGCAACGACCAGAGTAGCCGGGGGCCACTTGAGGAACAAAATAGGAGACTGGATAAAGAAGGAAAAGAGCACGTGGGGCGATACAGCAGCTGCCGGAATATTGAGCAGTAGGTGTCAGAACTGGAGTGAAGGAGGACAGACACCTAGAGGAACAGCGCAAAAGGACGTGAAAAACATAGATAACGACGAGGAGAAAAAAATACAGGAGGAA